GGGTTATATCTGGACTGGGTGTTGGTTTTGTTTGACTGTATTTTTTTTTTCCCATGTTGTTGTGCTGAGGATTTTGGTTTTAGCCAAAAAAATCTCTCCCAGGCCCTTATCAGATGACACAGCGGGTAATGTACTTCCCCGCAGAGTCCAGAACTCAAAAGGCAGAACCAGACCCCTGTGAAACGTCCCCAGATCCCCTCTTCCATCCTTTTAATCCGGTGGGGACCACAGAGGCGGGGAATGTAAAGGCTGTATGTCTAAAAAGAGCCCAGGCAGACCTTGACCACCCCCAGTTTGCATCAGTTGCACATATTTTTAGAGCTGGCAACTGGATGTGCCTGGTGGCCCGGTATGGTGGAGAGACACCCAGCTGCTCAGGAAAACTTTTTGTGGGTGGTGGGAGCAGCAGGAAGGATGCCGTGCAGCCCAGGGTGGCTTTGTGGAGTGTGCCTGGGGCAGACACCCCCCCTGGGGAGTCCGCACTGGTATTTATTTCTCCTTTGCCAGTTTACACAGATAGGAGAAACATCCTGGACCCAGAAAATCCAAGCGGCTGAGCGCAGAGCCCCAAGAGCTCTGTCTTTAAAAAGCTAGGGCTTGAGGATTATTATGGCAGGAAATGTTAGGATAGAGAGGAGGGATAAGAATAAATCCTGAGTCCTTGGCTTGGGTCCTTCGTAAAATGTACCTTTGTCTACCCAAATTCCTATACCTGCCCGCTTGCAGGTAGAAAGCTTCCATCAACCCGCTGAGGTTTCTCAGGCACTTTTTGGGGCAGTAAAGCCTGTCCCTGCCTATTTGTGGCCAGCCTGTCCCCTGGAGGGGATTGCCAGGAGCAGCGGATGGGGCCCTGGACGCTCAGCTCTTCAGGCACAGGGCGGGAGGGCGGCTGGGAGCCTGTCCCCTCGCATAGTACCCCTTGCCACCCCACTGGCACCAGACTCTCTGCGAGAAGCACAGCGAAGGTTTCTCCCCGCGCACGTCCCATCCCAGCTCTTCGGCAACCTCTCCCCATGCACACGCATGCAGGGTGCCTGGCCCCGGCGGGCCGTGACTTACCAGGTTGACTGGGTGGATGTAGCCGTTTTCGTACTTGTCATTGGCCAGGATCTGCCTCAGGTGAGCGATGTAGCTGGAGGCCAGCCTCAAGGTGTCCAGTTTGGAAAGCTTGGTGTCTGGGGGCACCCAGGGCAGGGTGGTCTTAAGCCTGGAGAAGGCTTTGCTAAGGACCCTCATCCTCGCCCTCTCCCTGGCGTTGGCAGCGTTTCTCTGGACCTGCTTTCCCTCCTGGCTCACTCCATTTAAAGGGCTCTTCTTGGGGGGAGCTTTTTTCCTCTTGCCCGAGGCCCCTCTCCCCTTCTGAGGGGAGCCATTCTCGCCATTGGATCCCTCCTCGTTGCTCTCGGTGGACGCCCCAAACTCTTTGTTAGTATCCATTTTCAGGCCATCGCACTCCAGCATCTCCACCTCCTGCAGATCTTCCACATCACTGAGGGACCCAGTGGACATGGTCTGGAAGATGCCAAAGGACCAGCGGGAAAGGGGGAGGGGGGGGAGGAAGGGCAGCTCCTCGAACCTACTTCAAGGCGGCGGAGGAGAGAAGGGGTGCCAGTATTTTCGTCCCCTTCCCTCCCCCCCCAGTACTAAGGCGCAACACCAGTCCAGAGAGGATCCCTGCCCTCCCGTCCCCCAACCCCGCTTTGCCCGTGTTTGAGGGAGGGAGTGAGCTTGTGTGAGAGAGGGGAGAGAGAGAGAGAGAGAAAGCCGAGGAATTTAGTGAGGACACTAGTAATTTATCTGGGGGATAAGAGAGGCGGATCCAGCCCAGGGGAGGGGCCCTGCCCGCTGAGCACACCACATCCCCAATCACAGACCTTTGCACAGGACTGGGAATGAGGTATCCCGGCAAGCTTTTGCCGAGCGCTCGGAACTGGGATTCAAATCTTCACCACTGGAGGAAAGCAACTTGCTCTCTCTCGCTCTCCCCTCTGTCTTTCTATCCTCCCCCTTCCTCCTCCTCCTCCTCCTCCTCCTCCTCCTCCTCTTCTCCTTCCCCACTTCCCTTTCCAGCCCAGGGTTGCTCTCCCCCTCCCTGCCTCCTAGATGACCCAGGCAGCTGGTGTCATGATTCTTGATGAAAGCCAAAATGGGTCATGAGCAGAGAGAGAGCAGCACATCCACCAGCCAAGCCTTCCAGGGAGCTTTGTAATGCGTGCTGTCGAAACGCTGTCCTGTAACCTAATCTGGGGGAGATTTGTGGATGATTGTATTTGCGAATGCATCCTGTCCAGCTACTAGTGTATTCCAGGAAGGGAGCGCTCCGCCGCCCAGCCGGCAGTGTGGACCTTGCCGTCACAGCTCAGGGGCTGGAAGCAGGAGGGTCTGACTTCTTCCAGCCCTCCTGGGTCACCTCCGACAGGTCCTGGTCCCCTCTCACTCTTTGAGGCCCCCCAGCTGTAAGCGTCCCAGAGGCTGCCCTATTCTCAGGTGTGCCAGGAGGCCGACATCCCGGCGGTCCGTGGAGCCCCACCGAGCCAAGGGAGAGCACCGTGCCACCTGGGAGGGTCAGTGTGGCTGCAGATGGGGCAGCTAGGCTGAGCACTGAAATGAAGGACAAGGGGGGGGGGGGGGATTGCACAGAAAACCCCCCTTTTCTCGGCGTGTTGTTGCAGAGCAGATGTCAGTGTTCCATTCTGCTGTACCCGTGGAGTGCTTTGTCTCCTGATTCATGCATGCTCAAAAGTCAGGGAGTTTTGCCTGAATAAAGAGGCAATAAGGCCCCTTCTGTGCCAGCGCTGAGAGTAAGGGCATCAGGCCGTACTCTGCAACCACTGAAGCCAAACATTCCCAATCGTTTTGTCACTAGTGTGAATGAGCGCGTTGCTGCGTAGTTTGAATGAGCAGACGTACGCTGCAGTTACAATCTTTATTCACATGTGTATTCAGTTTCTGCAGAGCAGGCTTTTAAAAGCAGTTAACTTCGGCCTAGCTCTTCTTCCTCTCCATATAAAATCTTCTCCTAAACCCACATGTGGAGCCTGAAGAGGCCTGTGAAGCATGAACTTGTTCCCGTAGCTGCTTCCCTCCTCACATGCTTCCGAAAACCTCGCAGGTCCCCCAGCAGCCTGGGTTTTGAACATGGGGGACTGAAGGACAGGGCATGATCTGCACGTGGGACGTTTCTGGACACAGTGACTGATCTGATTGCAGGAACAACTCCACTTATTCAGCTGCTTACCTGAGGATTCACATAGCTTTGGACAAAAACGTACAGCCTGAGATGTCATCATGGCACGCAGTGGCTTTGGAGTTAATCAAAGGTCACTGGAGCCACAGGAAAGTCTTTTACTTATCTGTGTGAGCACCAGATCATGTTTTCTGCATGCACTAAACAAAAAACAAGCAAACAAACAAAAATTGTGGAGGCCCAAACTGGTATGTCTGCCAAGCGCTATGTACTGTCTGCAGATTAAAGTTTCAGTAGGAGGTAGAGTGTCATTTTTGATAACTAGCAAGGAAGTCTTTCTTATCTCTTGATCCATCTTGATTCCTTGGCTCACATAAACCAGAAGAAAAAGGGCAGATCTAAACTTTAAACCAGCTCTTTACCATTTGGGTGGAAGATAACACCTTCCCACTCACAATAGGATCAGTACATTAAGATATCATATCTCCATGCCCTGGGCTCTTGGGAATTCACTAACCTCTAACGTCATGTTATGTTAACTGTGCCCTGTTTGTGTTTTCTCTGTGTATAAACTGTCAGCATATCAGTCCTAATTAATGAATTAGCTTAGCTTTTTTTTTTCTTTTTTCTTTATAACATCCTTGTTGCAGTTCCAAAATATTACTAATCACCAGCACAGAGATTTATGAGCCTCCTTATTTTCTAGGCTTGATTGTTGTTTGTGCAGGTGGAGATTTAAGTGGCCATATCCACTGCAGAGATTTATAGTCCAAGTGATTGATGTTAGAAATGAGCTATAAGACTCTTACTGGAGCAAGGATGACAGAAAACCAAGTTGAAGTTGCTTGTGTATCTAAGCACGAATGACCAGAGAGCATGAATGGCCAGAGAATACAAAATCCCATCAAAATTTCAGCATCAGAAACTCTCAGAAGAACAAAACAACAAAAAAAGTATATACTCACATCTTTTCTATCACTTATTTTTAACTTCATTTTACTAATTTCTAAAAATTTGTTGTAAAAAGCAGAAGGAATGATCTGGCTTCTTAAAACGCCTTTAGTATGCTGCTACATGTGTGTTCTGAAAATCAAGGTATGCATACACATTTGTTATGAGCCTTTAGAATTGCCACACGTTCGTAGCTGTTACTGACTTACATTTCTGAGTCCTCAGAGCCAGTAAAATTGATCTAATACAGACCACACACTTTTGTGGAGACACAGGACACCTTTTTGTATCAATTTTGTGGAGATTATTGTGTGTGTGTGATATAGACTCACATATGTGTAGTATAATGTGCTTTGAGTCCTTTATGCATACAGACTATTACACACTTTTTTAACAATGTAATTGTCCCTTTTTCCCTCTCCAAAGGGGCCAGCATGGGCAGACCTAAAAAACTGTTTCCTCTCATCTCCAGGTAACTCCTGGTTCCTTATTTGTTTGTTACAGGAGTTGAACCTCACCTTTTCCAACCTTCCTGCTCCTTATGTCCCCCCTGGCAAGCCCAGGGCTAGTACCCCTAATCTGGCTTCCGGTTTCAATCCCTCTCCCCTCACCTGAATTGCCTTGCCCAGTGCTCCTGACTTTCGTTCTGAATTGCAACCCCAGTTTAGGGTAGAGACCAACGGGGTGGAGAGCAACCCAGTCCTGTGGGAAGGGTAAAGCTGGGATGGCTGCAGCCACCGCGGCAATGGTGTGGCCACTTACTTCTCCGGTTAAACAACTGGGACCACAGACCAGCCACTGGGTTAATAACTGGCTGGGAAAGACAGATGGAGCTAAAGTCCTTTTGGCCTTTCCCGTACATTCAGTCCTTCATTCGTATTTTAAAAAGGAAGTTGAAATACTGGTGTGGGGAACATCAGTACAAATCTGTGGATTTGCCCTGTAGGTGACTTTCTCCTCTGCATTGCTCTGGCTACACAGGAAAGTGCATCTCTCACTTCTAATTGAGACCAACTAAGCCATAAGGTCATTTAGGACATGCCAGGGGTGCTGGGGCCAGAGATTCGGGGTGCCTGGTCTGAAGAGTGTCAGATAGGGGACATGTCACACACAGGCTTATGCTGGTCTATGGCAGGTTACAGATTTCCCCCTGGAAAAAAAAGCCCCACTTTTTATGCCTCCAACCTTCCCTCCCCTGGGCTGGAATAACAATGTAATTTGAGAACAGCTTTGGAACTTCAGGCCAAGATTTCTGCAAGTGCCTCATGATTTTGCGTGGCATGGCATGGTTTTGTGGGGAGGGGAGTTTGATGTTCTGTGTCATTTATTGAGGCACCATATTTTCCCTGTGCATTGACCAATCACCAAAGGAAAACCTCAGATCGTCCACAGCTGAGGAAAACATAATCAGTAGCTGGTTTTAAAACTCTCACCCAATATAATACAGGTGTTTTCCTATATTTGGAGAATAACCAAGGAAGTCACTCACAGGCAGCCAGCTGATCATGAATCGTGTTCAGTCAGATTTGAGAATAATCAGGAATAAAAGTACAACCAGATTAGTGTTTTCAAGTTGCAATTTTTTAAAAAAAATCTGGCTGCACTGAGATTTTTCCTGCTCACTCTTGGTCTCTTCTGGAAACTAAGTAAAATGGTGGAGGGACTTCAGAAGCATACTTTTACATACCTTAAATGAAATAATACTAAAAATATACTATTA